GCAACTTAGTATCTGTCCCCCTGCTCCCTAAAATCTCCCCCCCGTTTTCATGTGCACTCCTGAACGCCCGATCGGTGTGCAACAAGCTTACCACCATCCACGACCTCTTTGTTTCCCGCTCCCTCAACCTCCTAGCGATCACGGAAACCTGGATCCAGCCCACTGACTCTACCTCCCCTGCTGCACTCTCCTACGGAGGTCTCACCTGGACCCACTCACCCAGGCCCAATGGTCGTAAAGGTGGTTGGGTTGGTTTGCTCCTGTCACCGCAGAGCACCTTCCGAGTCCTCCCAAACCCCCCCTCCCTATCCTTCTCCTCCTTCGAGGCCCACTGCATCAGACTATTCTCCCCCAACCCCCTGAAGATTGCTGTGATATATCGGCCTCCTGGATCCTGGATCCATACCCCGCTTCCTGGATGACTTTTCCTCCTGGCTACCCTTCTTCCTCTCCTCTGAGCTACCCACCATCATCCTTGGGGACTTCAACATCCCTGTCAACCTCGACAACCCGGACACATCCCGTCTCCTCCACTTAACCTCCTCCTTTGCACTTGCACAGTGCATACAATCCACCACCCACTCCAACGGTAATATTCTTGATCTTGTCTGCTCCAACCGCTGCGCTCCCCACAACCTCACTAACACCCCCTTCCCTCTCTCTGACCACAACCTGATCACCTTCTCTATCTCCTCGTCCTTCAACGCCTACCCCTCCAAATGTCACACTACTACCAGCCGTAACCTCCACAACCTTAACCCTGCCCCCCTCCACTCTGCAGCTGATCAACTCCATGACCGCATCCTCCCCCTGTCCTGCCCCGACTTGGCTATGACTGCCTACAACGACGCGCTGTCAACAGCCCTTGACTCACTAGCGCCTTTACACCACACGCAACATCAGACCCCCGACCTCTCCAGCCCTGGCAGACTGATCACACCAAAACCCTCAAACGACACAGTCGTGCCCTGGAGCGACTATGGCGCAAAACAAAATCCCAACAAGCCTTCACCCGCTACAAATCTGCCTTCCACACCTACAGCTCCTCCCTCCATACTGCCAAACAAGCCTACTTCTTGACCCTCATCAAGACCCTCTCCTCCAATCCTCGCCGACTCTTCTCCACCTTCAACTCTCTACTCTCTCCACCTCCACCTCCACCCAGCACCTCACTCACCGCCCCTTGAGATTGCCAATCACTTCAAAAACAAGATTGACACAATTCGCAAGGACATTGCCGCAACTCATACGCCCTCTCAACCCGTCCCCTCTCACACAGCTACCCCCTCATCCCTCCTCCCCCTCGACATAACCCGCAGGGACTTCGTCGCTGCTCAAACTCCCTCCAACCCCCTTCCCCCTCACTCAGCTCACCCCTCATCACCCCTCTCCCACGGACCCACCACTGCTCTGACCTCCACTTCCACCCCACCCTACATTCCTCATACCGAAGCTCCCCCAACACTCCGCACCTTTGACCTTACTACCATCGAGGAAGTCTCCAAGATCCTCTCTGATGCCCGCCTCACCACCTGCCCCCTCGACCCTATCCCCTCACAACTCCTACGACCTCCCTCCCCCTCCATCCTACGCTCCCTCACCCACATCTTCAATCTCTCCCTCTCCTCAGGCACTTTCCCCTCCCCTCTGAAACATGCACACATCACCCCCATACTTAAAAAGCCCTCCCTGGACCCCAATGACCCGAACAACCTCAGACCCATCTCCCTGCTCCCCTTTACATCTAAACTCCTCGAGCGCCTCGTCTACACCTGCCTATGCTCTCACCTCAACGACAACCACTTCCTCGATCCCCTACAGTCTGGCTTCCGTCCCCTACACTCCACCGAAACCGCCTTACTCAAACTCTCCAACGACCTTCTAACCGCCAAAGCTAATGGCCACTATTCAGTGCTCCTACTCCTTGACCTCTCTCCGCGGCCTTCGACACAGTCGACCACCCCCTCCTCCTCAAAAAACTACACTCCCTCGGCCTCAGAGATTCTGCTCTCTCCTGGCTCTCATCCTACCTGTCACAACGCTCTTTCAGCGTTACCTATAATGCTACCACCTCCCCTCACTCCCCCTCTCTGTTGGGGTCCCTCAAGGCTCTGTCCTTGGGCCCCTTCTCTTCTCCATCTACACCTCCTCCCTTGGCCAACTCACACAATCTCACGGCTTCAACTACCACCTCTATGCCGACGACACACAAATCTATCTCTCAACCCCCCACCTCACCCCCTCGGTCTCTGCCCGAATCACACACCTACTGAGTGACATATCAGATTGGATGTCGCTCCACTTCCTTAAACTGAACCTCTCCAAAACTGAGTTTCTTGTCTTCCCCCCAGCCCGGACCCCACCCCCCATTGACTTCTCCATCACATCCAACAATGCCACCATCAAACCCGCCCTGCAGGCCAGAGTACTTGGTGTCATTCTGGACTCCAACCTATCCTTCCAGCCCCAAGTCCAATCTTTAACAAACTCGTGCAGACTCCACCTCCGCAACATCGCCAAAATCCGCACGTTCCTAACCCCAGAAACCACTAAACAGCTCATCCACTTCCTCATCATATCACGACTCGACTACTGCAACTCCCTCCTCACTGGCCTGACTCGCCGCAAGCTGTCCCCGCTTCAGTCGATCCTGAATACGGCTGCCAGACTCATTCACCTTTCCAACCGCTCCGTTTCCGCCACCCCCCTCTGCCAATCCCTCCACTGGCTTCCGATTGCGCAACGGATCAAATTCAAAATCCTAACATTGACGTACAAAGCCGTCCACCATACTGCCCCGAACTACATCACTGACCTAATATCCAAGTACCGCCCAGCACGCACACTCCGCTCCTCACAAGACCTCCTTCTCTCTAGTTCCCTGGTCTCCTCCTCCCATGCCCGCCTCCAGGACTTCTCCAGGGTTTCACCCATCCTCTGGAACTCCCTGCCCCAACCCATCAGATTATCACCTACTCTCCTCTCCTTTAGGCGCACCCTGAAAACCCATCTCTTCAGGGAAGCCTACCCCACCCCTGCTAACCTGCCGACCTCCTCCACTCTTCCTACCACTCCATCCCCCACAGCTATCTCCTCCTGTACCACTATCCCCTCCCTCCTAGATTGTAAACTCAAAAGAGCAGGGCCCTCAATCCCCTCATGTTTTGCATTGTATTGGTATTGTTCTGTCACATGTTCTGTCCCCCTTTGCAATGTACAGCGCTGAGCGAACTATTGGCGCTTTATAAATACTGTATAATAATAATAATAATAATGTAAAGAGTTATGCACATCTAATGAGGGATACTGCCTAGAAACAATTATTAATGTGAAAAAAAGGCGTATGTGGAAAAGTCCAAATATGTAAATGATCCTATATTGTAAGCTCCGAGGAGCAGGGCCCTCCTATCCCTCTTGTATTGCACTGTATTGTTGCTGTATTGTCTCCCATTATATTGTAAAGTGCTGAGCAAACTGTTGGCGCTATATAAATCCTGTATAATAATAATTTATAACAAATCAGTTAATAAATTGATTGATTAATAAATAAAGAAGAGCAAGCACACTAAATTCATGCTAAAATAAATAAAATATTAAAATAAATAATAAATAAAAAAATAAAAAAAACTGTCGAATTGACGGCAACATTATCGTCACAACTTTAAAATAAATAAATACGATAGCTGCAGTAATAACTTTAAATGTATAAAAAATGTTTGACAGCTTGACCTAATAACAATATCGGAAATATGATTTACTATAAAATGGTGATAGTGGTAATAGTAAATACAATAAGTCTAATGTAAAAAAAAAACATTTGTATAAAACCATCCATATCAAAAAGGGTCCATATAAAAAAAGAACAACCAGATAAAAAGTGAAAAGAAATTATGAAAAATAGCATTGTCTACACCAGTAGACCAATACTAGTATTTGCAGAGAGATACAGTACTAGATGATACTGTGAACTTCCAAATCTTCATTTAGACCATTTGGTGCCATGGATCCAAGCTTGAAGATCCAAAAAGTGTCCCTCTTGCAAAGGAGAGAGCCAACCTCTCATTATCCGTGAGGGTCCCTTTCACTATGTGTTCAATGGCCATAACCTCTAGAAAACTAACATTTTTTATTATTATAATGTAAAAAATGCCTGGGGATGCTGTGTTTGTCACATCCCTCTTTAATGAGTCTCCTATGTTCCCCCATGAGTCTACGTAGAGGACGTGTGGTGCGGCCCCACATACAAAAGTTTGCAGGGACAGGTCAAAACATAGATAACATGATCTGTGGGCGTGAGTGATAAACTGTCGAATATCATAAACTGTGCCCCCAGAGTCAGAGATGTGAGACCTGCCTGTGTAATAAACTGACATGTGAGGCAGCCATTTTTTCTTGCATTTGAACATGCCTGTTCTATTATCATATTATGAGCAAATATCCCCTTTCTTTTGAATAGTTAAGGACAAGGGCAGACTGACCATTTGGAAACTCGGGCACTGCCCGAGGGCCCAGGGTCAGTAGGGGGCCCCATAAGATGCCCCTGGTACCTTTTTTCATAGGCTTTTTTGAGTTTGGGCAAGGAGCCCCTATTGCCCGGGGGCCCTATGAGTTGTCAGTCCGCCCCTGGTCAAGGAAAGTTTGCTTGGGGCTAGAATGTTTTTTAATGTGCGTGCCTTCTTAAAGGTCACCTGAGGAGCATGAGGGAGAGTGGGGGCCAATCTTGGATCAAGCTGTAAGATGTGCCAGTGTTTACGTATGACCTTGGTAATGTCACGATGTGCTATATTGAAACCTGTGATAAAATCTCACTGTATTGGATTGGTCTTGGACCTTGGTTCTGGGTACCCCATTAGTCCCACCATGTTTTATAAAAGTTGCAATGTTTCACAAAACATAAAAATGTGTCTAAATCACCATCCCAAATAAGCAAAATGTCATCAATGTATCTACCGTATTTTTCGCTCCATAAGACGCACCTGACCATAAGATGAGCCTAGGTTTTAGAGGAGAAAAACAAGAAAAAAAATATTCTGAACCATCGGACTGCAGACATGGTACAGGAAGTGACCAGACACTGCGGACACACTACAGGAGATGACCAGAGACTGCAGACAGTACAAGAGATGACCAAAGACTGCGGACACAGTACAGGAGAAGGACCAGAGACTGCGGAAACAGTACAGGAGATGATCAGAGACTGCAGACACAGTACAGGAGATGATCAGAGACTGCGGACACAGTACAGGAGATGACCAGAGACTGCGGACAGTACAGGGGATGACCAAAGACTGTGGACAGTACAGAGGATGACCAGAGACTGCATGGAATTGATGCAGACAGCTAGAGACAAGAAATGTTGGAGGGCAGTCAATCCTACTTGGTGAGGGATAGATGTGTAGAGGGAGGACACATCTAATGATGCCCAGTTGTAACCTGATTCCCACGTGTACTCTTTCAGCACTTCTATGATGTGACTAGAGTCTCTAATGAAAGAGGGTAATTGGTTGACAAGCTGCTGAAGAAAATGGTCTATATATTTGGATAGGCCACTCGTGAAACTATTAGTACTGGCCACAATTGGTCGTCCTGGGGGATTGGTGGTAGACTTGTGGACTTTAGGAAGATGGTAAAAAAACTTCTGCTTTGGCCCCCTAGTCTTCCACCTCATTCTGCTCTACTGTATAGGAGACCTTCCTCTTGGGATGAATGCTGTGCACTGGTTCTTTTCTCTCTATGGCAATGCCAATCAAGAACCAATACAGACATACACTCACCAGCCACTTTATTAGGTACACCTTTTATAGTGCCAAGAAAATCCCCCATGCCATTACACCACCACCAGCCTGAACCATTGATAGAAGGCAGGATCCATGCTTTCATGTTGTTTACACCAAATTCTGACCCCACCATCTGAATGTTGCAGCTAAAAATCGAGACTCATCAGACCGGGCAATGTTTTTCCAATCTTCTACTGTCCAATTTTGGTGAGCCTGTGCGAATTGTAGACTCCGTTTCCTGTTGTTAGCTGACAGGAGTGGCACCCAGTGTGGTCTTCTGCTGCTGTAGCCCATCTGCTTCAAGGTTCAATGTGTTGTTCATTCACAGATGTATTCTGCATACCTTGGTTGGAACGAGTGGTTATTTGAGCTACTGTTGCCTTTCTATCATCTCAAACCAATTTGCCCATTCTACTCTGACCTCTGGAGTCAACAAGGCATTTATGTCCACACAACTGCAGCTCACTGGATATTTCCGCTTTTTCGGACCATTCTCTGTAAATCATAGAGATGGTTGTGCATGAAAATACTAGCAGATCAGCAGTTTTTTAAATACTCAGACCAGCTTGTCTGGTACCAACAACCATGCCATGCTCAAAGTCACCTAAATCCCCTTTCTTCCCCATTCAGATGCTCGGTTTGAACTTCAGCAAGTACTCTTCACCACGTCTACATGTCTAAATGCATTGAGTTGCTGCTATGCGATTTGCTGATTAGCAACTTGCGTTGCCAAGCTGTTGAACAGGTGTATCTAATAAAGTGGCCGGTGAGTGTATAATACACATGTAGACTTGCAGGATATATCTTGGGACACAAGCAGCCACCAGCAAACTATCCAGTGATGCATCAGTTTGGCTGCACCCAGGTATTGTGACATTACTGTGGTGTAACCTGGCACCATTCTGAATGTACCTAAAGCATCACTCTACAGTCTTTCTACCAACATCACACACCATCAACATGGTATCACTTTTTAGTAATTTGGAAACTCAAACTCAAACTTTGGCCAAGTCATTATTATTATTATACAGGATTTATATAGCGCCAACAGTTTGCTCAGCGCTTTACAATATAACGGGAGACAATACAGCAACAATACAGTTCAATACAAGAGGGAAAGGAGGGCCCTGCTCCTTGGAGCTTACAATCTAGGAGGGAGGGGCTGGTGGTACAAAAGGTAATAACTGTGGGGGATGGACTGGTTGGAAGAGTAAAAGATTCCATTATTAGCTGAGGGAAGATAGGCTTCACTGAAGAGCTAGGTTTTCAGAGATCGCCTAAAAGTGAGCAGAGTAGGCGATAGTCTGATAAATTAGGATAGAGAGTTCCAGAGGGGGGAAGCTCTGGAGAAGTCCTGGAGATGAGCATGGGAGGAGGAGACAAGGGAGCTAGAGAGTAGGAGGTCTTGCGAGGAGCAGAGAGTACGGTTTGGGTGATATTTAGAGACAAGATCGGTGATGTAATTGGGGGCAGAGTTATAAATGGATTTATACGTTATTGTTAATGTTTTGAATTTTATCCGTTGGGCAATGGGAAGCCAGTGGAGGGATTGGCAGAGAGGGGTGGAGGACACTGAGTGGAGGCCAGTGGAGGGATTGGCAGAGAGGGGTGGAGGACACTGAGTGGAGGCCAGTGGAGGGATTGGCAGAGAGGGGTGGAGGACACTGAGTGGAGGCCAGTGGAGGGATTGGCAGAGAGGGGTGGAGGACACTGAGTGGAGGTCAGTGGAGGGATTGGCAGAGAGGGATGGAGGACACTGAGTGGAGGTCAGTGGAGGGATTGGCAGAGAGGGGTGGCTGATACAGAACGGTTAGTAAGGTGGATGAGTCTGGCAGCAGCATTCATGATAGACTGAAGAGCTGATAGCCTGCTATGAGGTCAGCCAATGAGGAGGGAGTTACAATAGTCAAGGCATGATATAACAAGGGAATGAATAAGTTGCTTAGTGGTTTCCGAGGTTAGGAACGGGCGTATCTTGGAGATGTTGCGGAGGTGAAGTCTACAAGATTTGGACAGTGATTGGATTTGGGGCTGAAAGGACAGATGGGAGTCTAGGATTACACCTCGTACCCTGGCATGAGGGGAGGGACTGATAATTGTGTTATTGATCTTGATGGAGAGGACAGGGAAGGAGGCACGGGCTGCAGCATTAACTTATTCGGGCTGCAGCCTCCTAATGTGGCCTCACTTGAGGGCACCCTGGAAACTGAAAATCATCTTATAAACACACAGCATGGTATTAACTCAAATATGGCATTTTTCTGACCAAAGGCTGGCAACATGAAATTATGAAGAGCTAGGTTTTCAGAGATCGCCTAAAAGTGAGCAGAGTAGGCGATAGTCTGATAAATTAGGATAGAGAGTTCCAGAGGATGGGGGAAGCTCTGGAGAAGTCCTGGAGATGAGCATGGGAGGAGGAGACAAGGGAGCTAGAGAGTAGGAGGTCTTGCGAGGAGCAGAGAGTACGGTTTGGGTGATATTTAGAGACAAGATCGGTGATGTAATTGGGGGCAGAGTTATAAATGGATTTATACGTTATTGTTAATGTTTTGAATTTTATCCGTTGGGCAATGGGAAGCCAGTGGAGGGATTGGCAGAGAGGGGTGGAGGACACTGAGTGGAGGCCAGTGGAGGGATTGGCAGAGAGGGGTGGAGGACACTGAGTGGAGGCAGTGGAGGGATTGGCAGAGAGGGGTGGAGGACACTGAGTGGAGGCCAGTGGAGGGATTGGCAGAGAGGGGTGGAGGACACTGAGTGGAGGTCAGTGGAGGGATTGGCAGAGAGGGATGGAGGACACTGAGTGGAGGTCAGTGGAGGGATTGGCAGAGAGGGGTGGCTGATACAGAACGGTTAGTAAGGTGGATGAGTCTGGCAGCAGCATTCATGATAGACTGAAGAGCTGATAGCCTGCTATGAGGTCAGCCAATGAGGAGGGAGTTACAATAGTCAAGGCATGATATAACAAGGGAATGAATAAGTTGCTTAGTGGTTTCCGAGGTTAGGAACGGGCGTATCTTGGAGATGTTGCGGAGGTGAAGTCTACAAGATTTGGACAGTGATTGGATTTGGGGCTGAAAGGACAGATGGGAGTCTAGGATTACACCTCGTACCCTGGCATGAGGGGAGGGACTGATAATTGTGTTATTGATCTTGATGGAGAGGACAGGGAAGGAGGCACGGGCTGCAGCATTAACTTATTCGGGCTGCAGCCTCCTAATGTGGCCTCACTTGAGGGCACCCTGGAAACTGAAAATCATCTTATAAACACACAGCATGGTATTAACTCAAATATGGCATTTTTCTGACCAAAGGCTGGCAACATGAAATTATGCTGGATGCACCCTGCCAAGAAGGCCTTATTTAAATACCATACCTGTGGGATCTCCCTAGAAGCCTGAAATTACTGTAGTAGGCATTGCTACACCAGTGATCTCCACTAACTTCCAAGTCCTGTGCCGAGTGGCTGCCCTGCTACATTCTGATACTATGAGTAAGCTCTTGTTGGACTGAAACGCGTTAGTGTTGCTTGCATTCTGAAACTATTTTTACTCCGCATGTGCATAAAACTTTCTACAGTTCATCTTCACCTTGTTGCAGATCATATATGATTTGATTTACTGGTTCAGCGGATGGAAATCGCAGGAGTCGCACGGTGAGATATAAACTTCTTACGGAAAACATGCTATGAGGGTTGCAGCACCTATTCCTTGTAAACATGAAATTATGCTGGATGCACCCTGCCAAAAAGTCCTTATTTAAATACCATACCTGTGGGATCTCCCTAGAAGCTTGAAAATACTGTAGTTGGCACTGGTACTCCAGTGATCTCCACTAACTTCCAGGTCCTGTGCTGAGTTGCTGCCCTGCTACATTCTGAACAATGGAAGATGGCAATTCAGCACAGGTGCCATTCAGAGATCACTATAGTTTCTCAATGAATGCAAAGCGTTCTCTGATTGGACAAGGTGGAGAGGTGGGTGAGTGATATCTCCACCTCATCCAATCACTGAATGCTTTGCATTCATTTATAAAATGCAAATCATTCTCTGAATGGCGCCCATGCCTAGTGGCCAACCTCTTGTGCTCACTATGCAACAGGGCAGCCACACCGTATTGGGCCTGGGAGCTAGTGGTAGTGGAAGTAGCAGTTTTTACTTCAGTGATTTCCAGCTTCCAGAGGTATCCAACAGGTATGGTGTATGCATAGTTACATTGGTCCAAGCTGGACTAATTTAACTATGTAAAAATTTCCATACCTGGATTTTTTCTTTAAGGCACCCTTGAATTGTGGCATCAGCTTGATGGCACCCTGCAAGCACAGTTTCAGTCTCGCATAATGGATGTTACCCTGGCCATGCCCTGCCAATATCACATTCCACTGGGTGCAAGGCTTCCCCATAACAACATGGAACTTCCCAAGCAGGGGCGGACTGACAACTCATGGGGCCCCCGGGCAATAGGGGATCATGGGGCCCCCGTGTCCTTGCCCAAACTCAAAAAAGCCTATGAAAAAGGTACCAGGGGCATCTCATGGGGCCCCCTACTGACCCTAGGCCCTCGAGTTTCTAAATGGTCAGTCCGCCCCTGTTCCCAAGCTGTACCACTACCACAACATTACGCTAGCCATCACGTAGTAATAGCGATTGCAGGAGTTTTTTTCTGAATATGATTCCATTTGGAGAAAAAGTCTCTTGGCTTGAAATGTAGT